ATTGAAGGCAGCTGATGGCTATCTTTTTCTCTAATTTTACATACGTTTAAAATTTTATATAATAAAGATTTTTTTTTAAATCTCAACTGTCAGGGCGCCTGGGTGGCTCAGTCAGTTAAGCATCTGACTCTCGGTTTTGGCTCAGGCCATGATCTCACGGTTTCATGGGTTTGAGCCCCGCATCGGGCTCTGCAGGGACACGGCGGATTCTCTCTTTCTTCCTCTTTCTCTGCCCCTTCCCTGATCACCCTGACTCTGTCTCTCTCAAAATAAATCAATAAACTTAAAAAAAAAATCATAACCGTCATTACCATTGAAAGATATTTTTAAGCAATGATGAATATTCCCAGGAAGTTCAGGTGTTTATAAATCAGAGGGGGGGAGGATATTTGAAAAGGACACTTTTCCATTCTTCCTGAGCTAGTCCCAGGTGACAGTTCCATCATTAGGGTCTGAGGCTACTGAATAACTACACGAGTCAGAATCCAAGACTTCCCATTTACTCCGAATCCATCACAAGGAATCTTGTGGATACATTTATTGCTTTTGTTTTATTAAGAGAAAGCTCAGTAGTTCACACAGCAAACACGTTTGTAAAGATCAGTGTTACTTCCACGTTTTCCCAAGTCGCTGTCTCTCAGGAGACAGATTCTTCCCTCTACTTCTTATCTAACTAACCTGCAATTAACAGAATTGACTTTTTAGAACTTGGCTCACCGTCCTCAGGGCAGCTTCCTGGGTCCTTCCAGGCCAGGGTGACACATGGGACACTGCACTCTCCTTTGGAAACTTTAACACAGGTTTTCACCGCATCTTTGTTTTGAAGATTAGGTGGCTGCTGTCATCTCCGCACTGGGCCACTTGATGAGCCCAGGGGCTGTGTGTGTCCTTACCTGATGTCAGCCCCAGGCCCCGGGGCAACGTCTGGCACACAGGGGTTCTGCATACGTGGTTGTCGAGTGAATAAATGTGAGGACAGACGAACATATGGATAAACGAAATGATGCTGTTAGTTTCCAATGCCTGGTCATTATTTTAGACTTTATACTATAAAAACTTGGAATTTCACCTTTTTGTAATAGCTTTTCAGTCTCTTTAGCAAGAACATCAGATTCAGACATTTAAACATACTGCTTTGCTTTTACACCATCTGTTTGTCGTCCTTATTCAGAATAGGCCATAGGCTTTATCTTACCGATCTTTATCAGAGTAGAATTGCATTCAACCAAAACTATCGTCAGTTCCTGTTTTATATCATTGTATAATTTGTGTATTTATTTATCTATTGAATTGGTTCCTTACAAAAAGAAGCTTATTGGGACATTTGACAGAACCTTAAAAGAAAACCATTTTCATTTGTTGTATTTATTTTATTAAATTGATTTGAATTTAAGAGTTCTGTCTCAGAAAACCTCAAGTTTCACCTCATCTATAGCATAAGGGTAAATCTACCAGAAAAAGTAAGAAGTTGTCCTGTCATTATGTGAGTACCAAAAGAGTAAAAATGCTTCATGATTAATGCATGTAGCTCTTAACATTCTAGCCATCTGTGCTTTATGTGGTCTGCCGGTTTGTTAATAATGCATTACTATTTGTTTCTATCCCAAATAAGTTGCGTGACAGGAAAAGACACCGAGTTTTTTTAAGACACCAAAACTGTAACCCACTTCATGAAATCTGAATTTCATGTCAGGTGTGGATAAACCTCCCCTCCCCTCTTCTTCTCTCCCACCCCCTCCCACCCCCTCCCAAGCCAACCCAAGCCAACCCAACCCACCTGATCCCATCCCATCTCTGTCCCAGTCCATCTCTGTCCCATCCCAAACCACTCTTGGGCCATGTTGGCCAATACTGTTTTCCAATGTACCTATTTCACCATGTTATTCATTTATTACCTTAGAATCCTTTAATTTCCTTGTTCTGTCCTGGCCACAAGCCCTGTATTCAGAGTAGATAGTGTGAGTACACTCTGGCCCATCTGATGCTGACATTATAGCTGCTGCCCATGTCAATAGCTGGGTGCTAAACATTTTGAATTTCTCTCCAGCTATATGACTTGGTAAATGTTGCCCCTAAAGGGTCCCTGTGCTGTGGGGAGGAGCGGAAACTTTATTTCCCCGAGACCTGGTGGCAGGAAGTGAGGCAGAGAACTCTTTCCCGTCACTCCCTGCTGGAATGAGCAAACATGCAGGTTGGAGTCATCAGAATCCTGAGCCTCTCTCTGGAATGAAGTGTGGTGCACATGCACGATAGGTGTGCACACACAATTGATAGATGTGCACACACGACTGATAGGTGCGCACACATGATAGGCGTGTGCACACGATTAATAGGTGTGCACACATGATAGGTGCACACACACGACTGATAGATGTGCACACATGATAGGCGTGTGCACATGATAGGTGTGCACACACGACTGATAGGTGCACACACATGATTGATAAGCGTGCACACATGATAGATGCACACTCTATAGGTGCACACACGTGACAGGCATGTACACACATGGTAGGTGCACACACATGATAGGTGTGCACACATGATAGGTGCACACACACATGATTGATAAGTGTGCACACATGATAGGTGTGCATGCACATGATAGGTGTACACACACAATAGGTCTGCACACAGCGTCTATTGTGGTGGCCCCCATCTTCTAAAGACACCCCCCCCATCCCCATAAGACCCTGCAATCCAGGGGCAGAAGTGATGTTCCAGTTGGGAAGTACCCGTGGGTGTGGGTCCCCTGACACTGTAGCATGAACTCCTTCCATGCTTGGTGCTCTGGGGTAATGGAAAATGAAAATATGGAAATAAGATTAGCTTCTGACCCAAGGGACCTACAGTTTAGTTTGGGAACCAAGGATAATGCATAGAATCACATTGTCCAGGGTCAAACAGAATACGGTGAAATAACAACAAACACACAACGGCACTGCTACAAGAGCTTCGCACGTGTTAAGACAGGAACCTGTCAGCAGTCCATGAGGCAGGGATCGTCATTTTCCCATTTCACAGACGAGACCCAGGGAGCTCACACAACCTTCCACGGTCCTGAGTTAGCAAGCGGCAGACCGGGATTTGAATCCAGCAGTCTGGCTCCGGCGTTAATTTTTACACTGTGAAAGCCATGGCTGTTTCCCGGAGAGACAGCCGGTGATGACCTCCCCCAGGGCTCTCGGCAGGAATCGTTCCATCTCGAGGGGTGAAGGAGAGCCATTGCCATGGGCTCACAGAATCGGGGGCGGCTGCAAGGCCAGGCTCAGAAGGTGGCCGCACAGACCAGACGCAGGGAGCTGGGTGACCCACCACAGGCAGGCCTGGAGTAGCAGCGACCCCTTCTGCAAACACTTCCTCTGCCTTTGGGCTGCTTGTTCAAGGAGAAAAGTCACAGAGATGGTTGAATACCACCCCCGGCTGCACTGGGGAGCAGAGAGAGGAAAGGCTACCCCCCGATCTCCTGTGGTCAGAGATCCCATTGTGCTCAGCGCACGCTGAGTGGTCCCCCCACACCGGCGCTGGGGGAAACGCGGTAGAGAATGACGTCGCACCTCACAAGTGCTGGGAACTGTCTCGCGTCCAAGACCTCACTGGGTGGGATGTCCCAAGGCGGGGACAGGGCTGGTGGGAAGCGGGCGGCGTAGCCCCAAACTGGCCGCATGCCCTACGGTGGGCTCTCTAGGGAGGCATGTGGGCTGGGTCTCTGCAGACAGGGGGAGGCAGAGCGGGGCAGGGGGAGGAGGCCTGGAGAACACCAGGAGACCTGTTGTTCCAGCAGGCCTTTCGTCCCGGCTGCCACGTGCCCAGCTTGTTACTGTCCAGGCACTGCCGCTGCCAGAACTAGAGGGATGCACTTTGCTAAAGGATGTCACAGAAGCCATGCAGAGAGTGGCGCACGACCAAGTACCTGCGAAGCCACCGCCAGGGAGAAGACACAGGGGGTGCCACGGCCCCTGCGTCAGGTCCCTGCCGCCGTGAGACATGTTATCCCAGACACAGACGCCCAAACAGCACACACTTACCTCCCGGTGTCTGTGGGCCAGGGGTCCGAGGACAGTTAGCAGAGGCCTCTGCTCGGGGTCTCGGGACCTTGACATCGAGGTGTGACGGGGGCGGGGCTCCCGCTGAGGCTCAGAGCTGCCTTCCACATTCGCCACTGGCTACTGGACTCGGTCCCTTGCGGTTGAGGGACCGAGCTCCCTGTTTGTTGCACCTGCCGGCCGGGGACTGTTGTCAGGTGCGGGGGCGCCTGCTGTCCCCTGCCATGTGGCACTTGCAGCAACACGACAGTCTGCCCCTTCAAGGCCAACAGGAGTGTCCCTGCTGCTTCCAATCTGTCTGACTTCTGCCCTTCATCCAGGCCCACCTGCAAAGTCTCCTTTTGACTAACTTCCAGTCAACTGATTAGGGACCCTAATTACAAAATCCCTTTGCGATATGACCGACATAGTCCCTGGAGAGAAAGTCCAGCGCCTGCGGGACTGCAGAGAGCACACGCGGCTTGTGCCTCCCATGACCCTGGAGAAAGGAGAAATACCTGAGGAGGGGAATGTTCCATCTGTGCTCTGCAAGGGGGGAGGGGGTTGCCCAGCGCCCAGGAGGGAGGGGAGGGTTCCAGGGGGTGGAGTCAGTAACAGCAGGAAAGGGCTACATACGTGGGGTCAGCCGGAGTGTGAGAGCCAGCGAGAACGAGATTGAAGAGTTGGGTTTCGGTCAATAAAAAGCAATGAGACGGGGCGCCTGGACACCTCAGTCAGTTAAGCTTCGACTCTTGATTTCAGCTCAGGTCAGGATCTCACAGTCTGTGCGATTCAGCCCTGTGTTGGGCTCTGTGAGGACAGGGCGGAGCCTGCTTGGGATCCTCTCTCTCCCCGTCTCTCTGCCTCTCCCCTGCTCATGCGCGTGTGTGCGCATTCTCTCTCAAAAATACATAAACTTAAAAAAAAGGCAATGAAATCAAATTAATATTTAATTGTGAATATGTCAACCATAAATTGGGTGATAGGATCAAATTCTTTATTGTAAAATTCACAAAAGTAAAACGACTCCATGATTGTAATATAACAAACAATAAGGTTTATAAATAGACCCTCGGCAGCCACGTGAGACTCAGTTAGACCAAGACGCCACAGAGCTGTTAGCAGTCCCTTTCTCTGCCATTAGGGACTCTGGGCGGTATTGATCCTCCTGCCGCGGCCATCAGGACGAGCCAAGGGAACCCCCCTCTCTCCCCCATGAGCTGAGGTCCACACAGCCATCCCCAGCTTGCAGCCATGGCAGGCGGGTGAGGAGGGGTGGGAAGAGAGGGTGAAGGAAGGGAAGGGGAGGCAGGGCAGAGACAGAAGACACACATGTGATGAGGGACCTCTGGTCGCTGGGGTTCGAGAAGCCTCGGAGGTTCTGAGCCACCCTTGTTACAGGCCAGTGGTCAGCTGCATCTGGCCCTGGTCTGTCCTCGCACAGTTCCCAAATCCTCAAGATAAACACAGCAAGAAGTTCTTTTTTTTTTTTTTTTTTTCCGTTTTTACTTTAGGTGGAATTCTGAACGACAGAGAATCAGAGCCCAAACGGGAGACACAGAAGCTAGTCCGGCGATCCCGCAGACGCGACAGCAGGTCCCAGATCTGCTGAGACGGTGAAGGATGGGGTGTGGGTGACGTTCCCACCGAGACTCACGTGGGACCTAGCAGGTGAAGGAGTGTCTTTGTCACCAGCACGGAAGACATTCTCCGCGACGTTGCCTTCCCCACCCGGCAAACGTCCCCCTGGAGCAGCTGAGAAAAGTGTTTTAAAGGGCGGAAGCTAATGCAGGCGGTAGGTTCTATTGTGCATATTTCAGATCCGGGATGTGGAATTCGCGGCCTCACTTGATGACATTTTAATTAAGTTTCTAATTTTACCAGGGAGGGAGCGAAAATAATCTACTGGTATCTTAAAGGCTGACATCACCTCAGGCTCCCGGACAGCCTCAGGGTGCAGGGCTGAGGGCAGGCCGACCCCAGGACCGCTGTGGCACCGAGATCCCAGCTGAGGGCAACGGAGACCCTGTGGGCTCAGGAGAAACTTCCGAGCCTCCCTTAACTCCACGGGAGACTCTAAACGGGGGGCCTTTCCCAGAATAAGAACTATTAGCAGAGATGAATGTTATCCGGGTGAGCCATCTGTACGGCAGGACAGACGTCTAATTGCCGAGCATCTGTCCTCTTTCCACCCTGCGAGGTGGGTTCCTTTCTATGTCGGCCCCAGACCCTCACGTTCCCCATGACACACACGCCTCAGTTTGCCCTACTGTCTTCAGAATTTCCAGGTCTGTGTGCATTCCTCATGCACACGCCCATTAAATTTGATTTTCTCCTGTTAACGTCTCATGTCAATTTGATTCTTAGTCCAGCCAGCAGGACCTTGGAAGGGTTTGCTCAGGATCCTGGAGTTCTGGGTCATTCTCTGAAGGCTTCCAAAGCAGATGGAAGAAAACATCCATCCTCACAGCCTCTCTGGATGCAGATTCTTCAAGGACTTCCTTTTCCTAAGAGACGTCACACCAACAGAGCCACACAGTCTGCTTCCTGCTCTGTTAGGCCAGAAATTGATCATTTCAGTCCCAAATTGGTAGCCTGTCTCCATTTATACCTTAGATTGAAAAATGGGAGACAACTTTTAGAAAATAATTTATAATGAAAACTCGCTGGTTAAAACTAACTATACTTATTATTTGTAGTGAGTGCTTTTAGTTAAAATAAGGTTCCCCAAGTAGGAAATCATTCTAAGAAACTGCCACATGCTGTTTGTTTGATTTTTTTAAGGAGCTGATCTGCCAAGTTGCGAGACCCTCCCTTCATAGCATCTATTCGAACACCCACTCATATTTTGGGGCTCACGGGGTACCTCGTCACTCAGTTCTGTTGTGAATGTGATCCATGGGTTTTTGTTTGGCTATGTGGCCACTCTGTTTTAAGGCTGGGATTTGGAAAGACTAAAGACTGCCACCATCGTCTTCTACTTCCAACCTTTTTTTGGATACATCATCGTACTTTATTCAAATTCCGCTCTGATCACCTATGGTCCAAGAACACTCGAATAATAAACCAAATATGAACAGATGTTAAAGATTGGTCTTTATTATAACCAATGATGCCAATCACTTGCCTGTGATCTTGCCGACATAAAACCACATCCACCCCTCGGCGGCCACCAAACCACTCAGCATAGTTTCCTTAAACGTGAATTGTTTGAAGCTACCAGTTTGAGGACCCTTGACTATTTCTTTCAAGCTCTGAGTAGCTGTAGGGATCTCAGCAGGGGTTGGAGGAACCAGCCCAACCTTGGCATAGTGCCCAAACGTGGCCAGTCGAGGCTTTGGGTAAGTCACAGCGGCATTCACCAGTGCAGGAAACTTCTCGGTGACGTTATAGACAAAATGGACCGTGGTTCCAAGATCACTTTGGACATGTTTTAAACCAGCATTTCCTACCTACGACTCTGTACTCAGCCAAATCACCCATTAGGTATTACATCAGAGAAAAAACTTGTTTTGGACATTTACTTTCCATGCACCGTTCCCAGGAAGCTACTGGAGAATATATTCCACCAAAATAAAGAGACACAACACGAAAGGAGGTACGGGATCCAGACGAGCGGTGGACGGCATTCCCCGGACAGGTGAAGGGAGGCCACCGTGGGGCCAGCACAGGGCGCCAGGCGGCTGCAGGAGAGCATCTCTGGGTGAGAACCGGATGTGTGTGCTCACACGGACAGTTTTGCAACGTTGTCAGAGCTGGCTGTGATTAGCGGCAAATAAGTAAAACCCTGGATTGCGAGTAACTTGTTCTGCGAGGGTTCTGCAAGACGAGCAAACGTTTCTCATAAATTTTAACTAGATAAACGAGCGACGTCACATGATCACAACTGAGCCAACGATTCTTGAAATTCGCTTTGACCCACTAGTGCTTTGGATTACAAGCATGTTTCGAGAACGAGTTATGCTCACAAACCAAGGTTTTACTGTACATAGAAGATCAAGAAAATGAAGGGAAGGAAGGAGTGGTGACCGTCAAGGAAGAAAGTTTGTGCAGGAAAAGACCTGTAGTGAGAACACAGCCGTGGGGCGTCCGTGCCATGGAGGCACACGGCAATGTCCGCTCACGCAGAATAGCACGTAGCGTTAATATGTAGAATACTGACCCAACGAGGATGTCCTAAACCGTGGGGGTAGGCAGTGGTGGGGGGGGGGGGGAGGTGTTCGCAGCAGTAGAAAAGAGGTAAACACTTGGTCTCCTCTAGGAAGAAATCAATCGATAGCTTCCAAGGTAAAAAATAATACAGCATAAGCACATTTTTACAAATACGGAAGCAATCAAGGAAGAAAATGCCAAGGTTATAGGTGATTCTCTGCAGGAAAGGGTTTCAAGCTGAGGTGTCTGGTTATTGGTTATTGTCGTAGGCGAGGTAGCTCTTAATTTTAAAGCCATGCAAATGCACGTCATTGATTAAAAGTAAAATGCATTTTTCACATAAGCAAAGTTTTATTGCAACACAGAAAACAAACCTGATGCACGTCCGCCAGGTTACACAGAAGGAAACCAACCGATCTTTGCCTTTCCTCTTCTGTTCCAGGTGCACGCTGTTTTGGACCCAGCCCAGCACTTTCCCCACAGGACACTCGGGTCTGAGGCAGAGACGGTGTGACCGCCGTTCCGGTGTGAGTACTCTCCCCTCTGCAGACAGCCCTGGACACACATACATCTTGACCTTGTTGGGAGTGCTGGCCAGAGGTGTCCTGCTTTGTTCCGGGCAGCGGCTCTTGGCCAGGGGGTCAGCCTCTCAGACACGCACACGCTTGCCCTTCTCCCACGCGAGGACCACTGTGGTGGACCTGAGGAGGCCCCAACTGGTTGGCCAGGTCGTGTGATGGTACAGAGGTCACGAGTGGAGGGGCCTGGGGCAACACTGGTGGTAAGGGGGCAGGCGCCCAGGCTGTGAGGCAGGGCAGGGCTCCCAGTTGCTGCAACCTGGACTCACCAGGGAATGTGCTGGGGGTCCTTAGGGTCTCCTCCCTGGATGCAGCAAGCTGGGGAATAAGGCCATGCATCCCCTGGAGGGGACCAAGTAGAGAGGAAAGAAGGATGACACTTGCTGAAAGCCTCTAGTATGGGTCACATTACACAAATCGTGACATTTAGCCTCGTCCTCTCAGCTCCCTGATGCCGACCTGAGCATTCGATCGTGCCCCCAGGCTGGGGACCCACCGTGGGTCACCCTTTTGTATCTTTGACTTCCCAAAGCACCAGCCCTGTCCCATCATCGCTGGCAGGGGGGTGAGGAAGCCCAGAGAAGTGGAGAGCTGGGGGGAGAGTGGGGGGAATTAGCCTCTACGGGCAGAGCCCAAGGCCCAAGGCTCTTTGCCCACATCTCCGTGCTTCCCACCCCACCCCACCTCCTGACCGAAACTCAACTCCCCCCCACACCCCCTCGGCCCCTGGAACAACTCTTTCTCTTTCTGCCTCTTTGAGTACGACTTCTCAAGGTGGGGTCATACACGATGGGTTCTCTCGTGTCTAGCTTGTTTTACTCAGAATGATGTCTTCAAAACTATTAAATTACATATATGCATATGTACATGTTTCACTTTTGGCTCTTTGATAAAAATCAGATCACCTCCAGTTAAAGCTGATGAAATATTCTTGTAGATTATGGTGGGGAATCGATACCTTAAGGAAAACCATTTCATCTTTCTCTTTACAGAGAGAGAGGGACAAGAAAAAGCACTTTCCCTGTTTTCTGGAACACGCCCACAAATAAAGGCGCGGTGACACGCTGTCCTGTGCCGGCAAAGCGCCTGGACGGGGCAGCTGCTCTGAGTGACGCTCCACCCGAATTATTGTCCAGCTCCAATCTCAAAGCCCTGGATTTTATTTCTGTCGTCAGCAGCATCTTTAAGCTTCTGTTCAAATAAATGAGGACGACAAATTATTTTCATGACTTTCTTGGTAATTTCAAGCTCCACAGAACTTAGCTTTTTTTTTTTCCTTAAAAGAAAAAGGAAATAAAATAATTGATTTCTTTAGGAAAAAAAAAAAAAAAAAAAAAAAACAAGGGGCAGGGGTGCAGGGAGTGTGGAAAAGAAATCAGGAAAGAGAAAATAATTCTTAGCATCTTTTCCTTTTATGTATTTTCTCACTGAAAGGTAACTGGGAGAAATGGTGAACTAAGAAGCAAACATACTGAGATCAGGCTCACTTTGGGACAGGCGACCCCCTGGCATGGCAGCCCCAGCAGGCGTTGAAGCGGGGTCTCCGTGGTGGTGCACTGAGCATGGTGGAGGGGCAGGGCCTGGAGACCCCGAGCAAAGCCTCTAGGGCTCACTCCCCAGCCGCGTCTGCACACCTGAAGGAAGAAAGCCTAAGAAGAAAAAGGCACAGAGCGACAGTGGAGACAAACCTGTCAAGGACAGGAGTCAGAGAGCGGGTGGCGTCTGAGGATGGGCGAGCGTGGGGACCCCGCAGCCAGACCTGGTGAGCACAGGAGTCCCAGGACTCGGTGATGGTTTTCACGGCAGAGCTCACACCAGCGTTGCCCAGAAGATGAAATCTTGATAATTCTTTGCGATTGGCACTCACACTAGTCACATATTCTGGATTAAGAATGATAACGAAGGTAACTTATTCCATTTTGGATACCTGTGTACTGACCGACTCTCAGGAGTCACTTCCTCACTGGCTCCTCCCAGGTGTGGGGACACCGGACCCTGTATCATCACCACATTCCTGGAGAAGGGGATGGCGAGTCTGGCGGAGTGAGGTGACCTCAGTCACAGTTGAACCCAGGACCTCGCTCTCCACAGCACCCCCTCGCGTACTGCCTGGTCTAAGCGCACAGGTGTTTTCTCTACCTGTGCTGGAACCTCGTACCCTCCCTTTATTCTGCTCCATGAGTGCTCGTGGCTGAAATAGCAGTGTAGGGACATTCACTTTTTCACTTTTACTGAGCACCTATCATGTACAAGGGACCGTGCTATGCCCTGGGGAGGACAACAGGACCAGTAATAGAGGGCATCGCAGGCAGAAAGACGTTCAGACCAGCGGATCTCCAACTTGCCAGGTCTCGGAGCTTTTAAAAAACACTGATGCTGGGACCCCACTCCAGACCGATAGAATCAAAGAGTCGGGACTGGGGGGAGGGAGGGGTCCCAAGGAATCTCTGTTAAAAATATGTATATATCCCTGGGTGATTCTAATTGGCAACCAGGGCTTTTTGACAAATAACTAAGCTATGCTGAGTTGGTGCCTTTAAAAGTACTAGTAGAGAAACTAGTAACAGAGGGAGCTGAGGAAGGTATAGGGGATGAGGGTGTGACTACAAAGGAGGAGCAGGTCTGTGGGACGAAGTGGGGTTGCCGCAGAAGATTCCAGACAAAAGGGATGAGGGAGGCCAGAGGGAGCCTGTGGCTTTTTGCCACCGGGGAATCCCAGGACCAATCCGTGGGAAGACAGAGCCCACACCATCTGGCCCTGCAGGGACAGTGGCCTGAGAGAGGGGTACAGAATGTTCCAGCAGCTTGGAGGGGCAAGGCTGCTCACCGAGGAGGCCGAACCCCCCAACGCAGGGTGCCTGTCCTTCCTCATACAAAAACAGAACACATCAATAGCTCATACTTCCCTGTCCCGTGTCTTCAGTAGTCACTTTGGGCTTCAGCTTTGTCATTGGAGAGAAAGGTAACAGTTCTGAAACATCTTTCCTGGAAGGTTCCACTTTTTCGCCCCCCCCATTCTTATTTCCCCAAAGTTTTTCTCACTTAGAAGTCAATGAACCCAAGACCCCTGGTTACCATCCGAGGCATCTCCAAGGTGGAGGGGAGGGACGCACAGCAGGTGTTCGCGAGTCTGTGCACAGGTGTGGGTGAGCATCCAGAGGCGAACCCGCAGTTTGACTTCAGTTCTGGAGTTTGCCTCCTGCCTTGTCCCCGCTCTCACCAGACAGCACTTGCCGTGGTGAGGCAGCCATGCTGTGGGGGTTGGCAGCGGGGGTCCCCATGACCTGACGATGAGTAAGATCCCTCCATTCTCCTCGGGTGCTCGCCAGTCAGCAGTCAAGGATCTGCACTAAATCCAGGCCTATGCCGACCATCTACCGGCATTCTACCATCCAGGGATATGCACTTAGCCGACCCAGTCAGAGTCCAAGATTCTCTCTGCCCAGTGGGAACAGAGAGACACATATTCCTGCTGCCATTTCACTAGGGACTGGCCGTGATCCTGGCAATACTTCCCACGACTCTTTAAGTCAGTCTGTGCAGACGATTTCCAAGATGACCACACACAGTTCTCTCCTCTCATGCTGCCAGGCCCTCCTCCAACCAAGATGTGAAATCTAGTCTACTCCTCTCCTTGGATCTGGGCCAGCTTTGGAACCTACTTTCCCTGAGAGAATGTGGCAGAAGCAATGTCCCGGCTTTCAGGGGCTGTATAACTTCTACTTTGGCCCTCTCGGTTTCCAGCTGCCGCGTAAGGAAGCAGAGGCTAGACTGATGAGAAACCGTGTGGAGCAACAGAGGTAAGCCCGCTCCCAGCTTTTCATCCCCCAGGCTGAGACACTGGACATGACTGAAGCCCCTGAACCTTCCAGAACCTTCCAGGCCCAGCGGAGTCCCCCAGAGAATGCAGGTGCACGAACAGTCCCTGTCAGCACCAAGGAGCCATCCCACCAAACCACGGGGTCCTGAGAAATAAACACTTATTGTCAAAGCCCCCAAGTTTGTAGAGATTTGTCGTACAGAGGTAACTGGTTCACAGGGGACTTGGATTTTCTGTTCCTTTTATAGAGTCCTAACTGATCTGTTTCCATAGATTTTAAATTAAGATGCTCACAGCTGCAGGAGGATTGGTTAATGGCCCAATGGTGTCATCGGGGACCCATGCTTCCTCCCATCTTCCCGTGCTGTCATCCCCACGGTGACGAAGTTCCTCAAGTGACCTCCTGTCCCGGACGTGGGACCCGGCCAGACATGAGGGGGGCCCCGTCCGAGACATGGGACCCGGCCAGATGTGAGGAGGGCTTCCTCTTTATGTGCCTTTTTAAGAGTGAGCAGTCGCTTCCCCCACAGCAGGACTCATTGGCTTTGACTTGTTTTAAAGCAGTCACCGGGAGGAATGGCTGATAGGACCCGGGGTTTGCCCCTCGGCATGCAGGGACAGGGCCCCGGAGCAGGATGGCTTTCCACCAGCCAGGACAGAGGGCATGTGTCTGCACCGTTGACTAAAACAGACCCTCCTGAGAGACGGGCAGCCTTTGCCAGCAGCCCTGTAAGATGTCTGCTTGTGCCCGCACACCCTCCATCCAAATGTCACTGTTTGCAAGGCAGAAGGCTAGTCAAAATCTGGCTCAGCCATCAAGGTCCTGGCAGGAAGCAGGGGGCTTGAGAGACTTAGGAGCCTGGGTGTGAGGGAGAGACATTTGCCGCGGCACCGTCACAGTTCTGTGACCCAGCCAGGGGTGCTGCTGTCCAGGGACAGCACCGCAGCCTAAAGAGGCAGGGAGTCGTTCTTGGAGCCTGACACCAGTTGTCACAACTGAACAGGAAGGCCTACAAGCCCTGTCCTCACAGAGGGACACAGACACGGTCCTGGTAGAGGCCAGGCGGGAGGGGAGGAGGGCACACCCAGGCTCTCAGCCGACTTCAACCCGAAGCAAGCTGTCCTGTTGGTGAAGGTCCAGTGAAGACAGCCACTGGCCTCCTGGGCACAGGGCAGGACAGAAGGACAGAGTAGATTTGCCTGCAATGTGGAGAATCGACGTGTTAGTTGACCAAAACCTGGAGTGTTTTTCTGCAGGAAAGTAGTTCAGAATCCGGGGTAGTTTAGTCACTATCACCCTGAAGCTGTTCTCATTTCTACCCATCTGCACCTGGGCCAGCAGGTGCACAACCAGGCTTCTCTTCCACCACCAGCCGGGAGGACGTTCACACCCCTGCACGCCTCCCAGGGCAGGGGTGCTGCCCCTACAGCCGCTGCCCCTCAGATTTCCTGAGTGGTGACCGAGGGGCAGCAGGAAGAGAAGACAGAGTGAGGGATATCAGTTAAAGCCAGGCTGACTATGGAGCTCGAGAGGGGAAAACAAACGTTCTCTGGTGTTGGTTCCAGGGGGCAGTTCTGTCTGGTTCAGAGACAGCAGGCACCAGGGGCGCTGCAGGGGGACCTGGAGGCCGGGTTGCCTTCCCTGGGGTCAGGCTTGGCCTCCTGGTGTCCTGCCTCCGGGAGGGGACTGGTGGGGGGGGGGGGGCAGGAGCCGGACCAGCCAAACCAGGAGAGGGCGTCACCGTGGGGCTGGCAGCTGGTGTAACAGGTTCAAGGATTCCAGCCCCTCGCCCCCGCCCCCGCCCCCGCCGGACGGTCAGGGTTTCCACTGTCACGACTCTGGAGACCTAAGGCCAGGAGGCGAGGGCTAGGGAGGGAAGGAGTTTCAGAGGGGAGGGATCCCACGAGGCAGGCCCGATGCTCACCTTCACCCCAGCGCACAAAAGCTGAGCGAAGCTGGGCAGCCACCTGAGGCACGACTCGGCCCCGTGTGGCACCTGCAAACCAGGAGCGGCCACGCGTGGCGACGGGCCCAGCACCAGGGCGCGACGCAGGCCCGTCTGGCGGGTCCCGCGCCGCCATCGGGCCTTCGGGAGGGAGACAGAAGTTTGGGAGCGTGCGGGGGGTGGGGGGTAGGGGGTGGGGGGTGGGGTGAGGAGCCGGGCCGCGGGTCCGAGGCTCCCCAAGGGGCACGGTCCCCGCGGCCCGGCCGCAGGGCGGGCCCCGGGAGGCGGAAGCAACAGGGAGTCGTCCCCGCCCGCCGGCCTCCCGCCTCAGGCCTCCGCCCCGGGGCCCTCGGGAAGCCCCCGCCCTGGGGGCGGGCCGGGCACGGGCACGCGGAG